CGTGCCCCTAAACGATGAGATATTTCAACAGGTCATACTACATCATGCTATAAAGCTATGACGACATAACATATATAACCGTCTAATAGGTACAAAATACGTTACTCTCAAAATAAGCTCATAATACATATGTTAGGAAATTATGGCATATATTCCTACGTAATAATAAGTTTGTTTGTTTGAAGTTAAGCACCAAGCTACACAATGGGCTATCTTTGCTCTGCCCATCAACGTAGTAACAAGAATGTATAATTTTTGTTTTTAATTTCGCGCAAAGCTACACGAGGGCTATCTGCGCTAGCCGTCTCTAATTTAGCAGTGTAAGACTAGAAGGAAGGCAGCTAGTCATCATCACTCACCGCCAACTCTTAGGATACTCCTTTTACCAACTAATAGTGAGACTGACCGTCACGTTATAACGCCCCCACGGCTGAAAGGATGAGCATGTTTGGTAGGACAGGGATTCGAACCCGCGACCCTCAGATTGCGAGTCGAGTGCTTTAACCACCTGGCTATGCCGGGCCACATGAATAACTTCACAGTACACATTAAATTTCTTTAGGTACCAAGCTTGGTCTAGTATTTAACGTACGCGGGCGTGTCCTATAGGTTAATGCATCCAGACTGTGCATCCGAGGGCTCATCTCTTTTCGTTACTGCAAAAAATGCGCTCCGCGCTTTAGGGCCATGAGTGCGCTGTAAGAGTGAGAGTCAAATCCTACTAATCGGTCAGACAAGAGTAGCTCAAGGTTGTCGTTAGATGCTGTTAACTAGGCGTCTTACCTCTCGTGTATAAGATCAAAATTAGGGACAGCTAGGCACAGACAGTCCTTGTGTACTCCCACAGCAACAAGCTTTGCTGTAACCCGTTAAGAAGGTATTTTTCGTTCATGTAGTTGATGCGTACAACAGTGCGACTAAGTTCCCGTGTAAACACCTCCTCTAATTTAATGGTAGCTTTATCACGTATACAGTTTCGAGGATGTCAATAAGATCATGCAGAATGAATAGCACGTTGGGATGGTTAGCTCTAAGGTTCAGCGAGAGAGAAACAAATTACAGCTCCTTCCTCATGCAAGTCTTAAACTTTACCGTAATTCAATTTTCTGTGGTCTACAAATTTTGGGCTTAGAGCCTAAAAATTTTACGTAGCGCAACATACATTTTTTTTATGCCATTGATGTTGCAGAACCTTTCAGGGATTCAGGTTAAGATGTAGCTTCATTAAAATATTTTTCTAAATTATCCTCAAGCTGATATTCTGGAAATGTAATAAAAGTAGTAATTCATTTTTAATTCAAATATATCTTTCTATTTCATTATTATTTGCGAGTTTAGAAAAAAATATATATAAAAAAGCCCCCAAATCCTCGTTTAGTTTAAAGTACCCAATTTAACTTTAGTATCCCCCCCCCCCTAGTGATTATGAAATTTGTCTTCGTATTATTTATTATAGATAAGGTTGAAAAAAAAGAGTAGAAATGGGGAAAAATGCTATTTTGGCCAGTGAGATAACAAAGCGAGCGTATTTCATTCATACAATTATAGACTTTAACGTTAGAAAAGACACTGTAATTGGGAGCAAAAACGTTCCACCGTGGAAGTTGACTCTTCATCTCCATACATTTTCTTCTGTGTTTAACAGTGAATGAATGACATCCCATTTACGACGCTATCCTTGCCGTCGAGAGCTTACATCCGAGCCCTTATCAGTTCCGGGCTATCGCGGGGACAGCAGGCTAGACCTACCCGTCTCAGTCATAAACAGCCGACGAGAATAGCAGTATTAGCTCTTATCTCGCGTCTGGGGAGAGGCACAGGTGCTCGTCTATTAACATGCTAATCAGATATATTCCAGACGTGCTGTATGAGATAGCTGATGCTGGTAACGCCAAATGACACACTGCACGTCACTCTGCTGTTACTGGCCTTTACCTGGACTATTTATTCATGACGCATCTGTCGCCTTTAAACAGAGCAAGCTTCCGAGCCTCTAATACTGTTTATAGATGTGGAGTCATCGAACAGCATGCAAACCAGCTACTTTAAACCTTATTGATCGTAACCACCCACTGGAGGAATATGTGGAGACTTAAAATGATCAAAAAAGGCTTAACACCTCACGTTTTAATGGAAGCACTAATACCTGATTTATGGACCTTCATGCTCTAATATATCTTTCAGGACTGCTTCAAACGCTCTGCACGTGCTGTAGAAACTTAGGAACTTATGATGTCGTAAAATAGATGACTTACGAAGAATTCATAACACAGGATGAAACGATGCGGCCTCAAATTTTTGTTTAGATTTAATGGCTGTTTGAAGATACATCAGTTTATTTTATTGGCAAAACATATCTGCGCTGAACGAGTTTTTTTTTCTCTCTCTTTCTAAGTTTTACGCTTGTTTGTAGTTTCCAGTATAAGTGTTATAAGATTAGCAGGATAAAGTAAATATAATTCATGTGCTTAAGATATCCTCGTGTGAGTCTTTAATCAAATGTGCTTTAACTAAAAAATCTCTACTGAGCTAAAATTCATAAAAGCGATTTGCTCTGATTCTTGGAATTGGAACCAACTAATAATTACACGGTTTACATTAGTCAACCACTACATATCTCGTCTTCCTTGGTGTAGTGCATCCTCTATAGATATGACACTACATATCTCGTCTTCCTTTATATTGTGCATGCTCTATATATATGACACTACGTATCTCGTCTTCCTTTATATTGTGTATGCTCTATATATATGACACTACATATCTCGTCTTCCTTTATATTGTGTATGCTCTATATATATGACACTACGTATCTCGTCTTCCTTTATATTGTGCATGCTCTATATATATGACACTACGTATCTCGTCTTCCTTTATATTGTGTATGCTCTATATATATATGACACTACATATCTCGTCTTTCTTGATATAGTGCATGCTCTATATATATGACACTACATATCTCGTCTTCCTTTATATTGTGTATGCTCTATATATATGACACTACATATCTCGTCTTCCTTGATATAGTTCATGTTTTATCAATATGATACTACATATCTCGTCTTCCTTGATATAGTGCATGCTTTATCAATATGATACTATATATCTCCTCTTCCTTGATGTAGTTCATGTTCTATAGATATAACACTACATATCTCGTTTTCTTTCATATAGTTCCTGTTTTATAGCTATGACACCACATATCTCGTCTTCATTGATATAGTTCCTGCTCTGTAGATATGACACTACTCATTACGAATTAGGATTAAGTCAATTTTGTTCAAGCAACAAACACCTATAAGCTTTTTAACATGTAGTTCAGAAAAGGCCGATGTAGCCTAGTGGTTATGTTTCAGTTAGCAGACTGAAAGGTTCAAGGTTGGAGCCCGCATTATACCTTTGAAATAACTCTACACTTTCAGCTGTGGGCACACTGTGGAAATGGTAATCGATTCCACTATTCGGTTAAGACTATCTGCGTAGGCGGCTTGTGCTTCTGACTGGTTGCCCTATCTCTGACGAGTACTTCTAAATTAGGGGCCGCTATGTCTAATCCTCGGGGTCTCTCATCTGGCCAATTTACTCCATGTGTCACACAAGGTGCAGTTCAGGTTGAAAATAAAAAAAAACGATATATTTCAATATCTAAACTAGTGTTAACTCTAACACCTAGTGCAGTTGATGGGAGTTAAGGACGTCCTAGTATTATTATGGATTTTGCTACCGAATGTTCTAACTGCATTGTAAAGTGAATTATTTGAGTTAGACATACAATACAATACAAGAAAAAAAAATTATCACGACAGTTTCTAAAGCTACATATAGAATTAGTAGCAAACGATCTTACATGTGTTATAAACGCGGTTAATGGAACCACTTTCTACTAAATAGTAACAATTGATAACCCAGCCATGGTTTAATGTAAGAAACTAAAAAGGATTTCCACGGCTTTTTGTAAATTTATATTTCCTAAAATCTATATGTAAGCTTTATAAAGCCTTAATGATCTGAGAAAGTTTTATTGGTGGTTTACTACAAATACACAGTTTTATTATTCTTTACCATTCAAGAGATCTTGCTTGAAATTTTTATTCTACTCCTTTTAATCCTGTATTCATTCGTTTTCTTTCCGTTATTAATCGTCTTCTATAGCAGTAATGTCAAGCCTCAGGAGTATAGTTACGTTCTTAGAGGTGTTACACTTTCTCTTCAGAGGCCCTTCAAACTAAACAGTAGACAACAGTCTAAAACCACGATGCTTGTTCTGTCATTTTTCGTTAATTGGACCCCCGTTTTCTCCCCCTTTCCGCACTATCATTCCTATCTGCCTTGATTTAACTAGAATTACGATCGACCGTAACCGTCACTGGCAGTGGAGGGACGATGTTTAGATAGCTGTCCATGCAGTACAGTCAGCTTAAGGCTGGGATAAGAATGAGTGTTAAAGTTACCCCTGGCGACGGATCTCTCCTTTTGATATTACGCCTCTGCTGGCTTGGTGCAGATAAAGATGCTATCTGATGTATCTGTCAAAGCTGGTCTGGCGAGCGGACGCGGACAAATTTTTCTTCTTCTGATAACCAGAATTGAGCTCATTACACCAGTTGGAAAACTTGTTAAGTTTTGATATATAATATTGTTATGACTCATACCTGGCGTTATATGATCCAATCGCAAACAATTTGGAGACCTAATCGAGCCAGCATCACGACGGAATGTTACTAAGATTCCGTGCGATACTGAACCTATATACTGTAATTTCAAAGTGGACTTCAAAATGTCTTGGATTACGTATTAACATTTTATTTTGTGATCTGTTTCATATCATGAAGTAGTTTCTAGCAGTTCGTTCTAGTTTTCGATATTTTGTACACCTAAATTGTGTTTTTTTTTTAATATGTATTTGTTGTTGGTGGTCTGTTTTTACGTGTGCTGAAATTTTGAAGTATCTATTATTTTTTGACGTATTTTCTTATATTTGTTTGACATTTTATTAGGCGATTCTAAGATATTGGAAGATTGTTTGGTTAGCTGTACCCATTGCGAGCAAAGTTTCACAGGACCGCACGCCCTCTATGCTCTCCGAGACCACCTGAAGGATTCACATCCAAATGTAGATGACACTAATAAGCAAAAAGAAGAACAAAAACATGCCTGTAGCAAATGCAAGGCCTCGTTCTCTGACCAAAAGCATTTAGAGAAACACGAGTTAATTCATGCTACTTCTAGCCAGGTACGTGAGTTTTGTTTTTTTAAATATATATATATATTTATAGAAAAAAACACTGACTTTAATTATCGACTTTAATGGCCATCGACCACATGGAAATCATACCTATATTTCTCAATTTTTTTTAGTTTTCGTCTAAAAAGTTTATGGACAATATATATATATATTAAAATATAAATTAAAAGCCATGACCACAGGGGCTTTGAGTTAAGTATTAAACATGTTTTCACATAAATGTAATATATCAATAAGTAGTATGAATATATTTATAACTACGATAACAGTAACTGTTATTCTTATGAAAACATAACCTGCAACTTAATTTAACATTTTGCATCCTCATAATTTGGCTATTGTCATATTATTTCATAATCACTTTGTTTAAAAATGTGTAAGTTTACGGCTATTTTTATTCATGTTTTTCTTGCTAGGATTTTTAATTTTTTACGAACATGTTAGAAATAATTGATGTTGGAAATGTAACTACTTAACAAAGGGAACTTCATAAATAAGATTAAAGAAGTGCGCATTACACTGGTACGGTCATGTAAAAAATATACTGTGTGTTTAATTACCTCACTGTACAGTCCCGAATTAAATTAAACTTAATAATTAACAATAACTCTGTGTTAAACAAATATTAAGAGAAAACCAAAAACCAACGTCACCAATAGTTTATGGAGATCATATCTGGGATGAGGAGAATCAGTAGGCTGTAGCTGTACACACGTACCTACTACCTCCATTAAAGCTAACTAAGCCTCGAAGCATTCCCCCATGCGCCTGGTTTCTGTTAACAAGGGAGACAAAATTAATATTTATTTTAATAATGGGAACGGCATTTTCCTCTGTTCCCACTCAATCAGATCAACGGACGCAACGAAATATTATTTTATTTTGAAATTTTCGAGTCCACGATGAATATAGAAGTGGATTAAAAAAAATCCTTATAATCTTTGAACTTTTTTTATGATTCGTGAATAACTGAATACTCACGGTTTTGTTTCAAAATTAACTACAGTATTTGTTATGAAAGTTGCATTTCTACTCGTAATACAGAATATTTGTTTAGTAGAAACTTGTTTTATTAAAAACATGTGATAGATTTATTTTCAATCCTGTTTAGTTACATTGTTTCTGTATCAACTATTAAATAGCAACTGTACTACTTCAATGCCCTCTATGGTCATGCTTGTCTATAGTCTAGTTCTCTTCTGGTCTATAGTGGATTAACAATCCTCTTCTGGATAAATGTAGTTAAACCCGTCTACTAACTCACTTCTCAGCTAACCCTAACTTCCCCTAAGTTGTGCATGGTCCTCTAGCTACTTTTCCCTCCTCCCCTCTCTTGTCTAGTCCTGCAAGATTTGCAATAAGAGCTTTGCCAACGTCTACCGTCTACAGCGTCACATGATCAGCCATGACGAGAGCGCGGTGCTGCGGAAGTTCAAGTGTCCGGAATGCGGTAAGGCCTTCAAGTTCAAGCATCATCTGAAAGAACACATCCGGATCCACAGCGGAGAAAAGCCTTTCGCCTGTCCCAACTGCGGCAAGAGATTCTCCCATTCCGGCTCCTACTCTTCTCACATGACAAGCAAGAAGTGCCTCGTTATGAATTTAAAGGTACAACAGTTAATAAAGCTACAAACAAAATATAGTATAAACAGCACTCCAATGATAGCCCAGATGGAACTGAAGCTTTAAATATCAAACCAAATAGCTTTAAAGTAATTCAAGCCTGTGATGATAAAGTAGTTAGAAGTAAAATATTAGAATAAAATCGTATATAGATTTCCAGTAAAAACTACGTGGAGGTAAATCGATAAGCAAATTTACACTCCCAAACTAAAAATCTATAAATTGGAAGACAAACCTAAGGTAACAAACAAGGTAGAGCAGAAGCAGTAAACAAACTTGTATTGTAAAATCAGGTGTCAGTAAAATGTAGTAAAAAGCCTACAATGATTAACTAGAGAAGTGTAAAGCAGTAAATAAATTTGTAATGTTAAATCAGGTTTACTGAAAGGTTGTAAATCCCCAACAATAATTAACTAGCACAGAATAAAGCAATAGACAGAACTATATTGTAAAATCTGGTGTCAGTGAAATACTGTAAAAAAGCTACCTAATTAACTAGGGAAGTGTAAAGCAGTAGACAGACCTATATTGTAAAATCAGGCGTCAGTGAAATACTGTAAAAAAGCTACCTAATTAGCTTTTTTACAGTATTTCACTGACACCTGATTTTACAATATAGGTCTGTCTACTGCTTTACACTTCCCTAGTTAATTAAGTAGCTTTTTTACAATATTTCACCAACACCTGATTTTACAATATAGGTCTGTCTACTGCTTTACACTTCCCTAGTTAATAAAAAAGCAAATATTCAGCAAAAACATGGGCAGTGATAAGGCAATAAATACACCTAGAACAACAAACCAGGTATCAGAAAATTTATAGTATAATCTACAATAACAAACTGGATAGAGACAAAACAATAAACAGATCTACAACAAAAATCTAGATATCAGTAAATTTATAGACAAATCTACAGTAACAAACTGGATAGAAACAAAACAATAAACAGATCTACAACAAAAATCTAGATATCAGTAAATTTATAGATAAATCTACAGTAACAAACTGGATAGAAACAAAACAATAAACAGATCTACAACAAAAATCTAGATATCAGTAAATTTATAGACAAATCTACAGTAACAAACTGGATAGAAACAAAACAATAAACAGATCTACAACAAAAATCTAGATATCAGTAAATTTATAGAAAAATCTACAATAATAAACTGGATAGAGACAAAACAATAAACAGATCTACAACAAAAATCATAATATCAATATATTTATAGACAAATCTACAGTAACAAACTGGATAGAGACAAAACAATAAACAGATCTACAACAACAAACAAATCAGGTATCAGTAAATTTATAGACAAATCAACATTAGGAAACTGGGTAGTGCTAAAGTAATAAACAGAACTATAACAACAAACACTTATCATTAAACCTCAAATTACTAGACATATTTATATATGGTTTACTGCAAGTGGGGTCCACATTTTGTATTATATTGATCAATTTGAAGTGTTTGCACAACATTCAGTGTAAAGGATAAAGAACTGATTAAAATATTAATATGAAATTACTCATTTTCTTTTTTTTTTAACACATAGGAAATCCCCTAGCAGTAATTAGCATAATTAATTGGAATAGTGATGATGATATTATTTACATTTTTTGTGTGACTCTGTTATTGTAAGCTAGCCTATAATCAACAAAATAGTTAGAGCTACAAGCATTTTGATAAAGAAATAAATAGATCTACATATTTAAACCTAGTATCAGGTATCAGGAAATAATTAAACAAGCCCTTCGTATCAGACAATCTACAGTAACAGTCTAGATGGAAGAAAAGCAGCAAACAGATCTACATTATTAAACCAGATTTCAGTAAATATCTAGACAAATCATTGAACAAAGACAAAAATGACAACATTACGTGCAACAATAAGTTACTAGAACTGACATTTGTCGAAACTAGCTAGTAGCATATTTTTTTCTTAATGATAAATATAGGTCTCTCCCTATTGGATAACGTTTAAGTCGAAAAAAAAAAGACAACTAACTCAGGTAAATATACTTAGTACGATTATCTGAAATTGTACGTGCCCTCTTTTACATAAATGTCTTGATTTTAACCCGTGACAAAAATAAATTCACAGAGAAATATCTTAAACCAAAATGTCTCAGAATATAATCCTTACATTAAGAAGTTTCTAGAAAATAGAATAAGAAACCTTATGTATAATTTTCAATTGAACGTTTTGACATACGTTATGAAAGTGTTCCAAGAGACCTTTTTTCATCTTTAACGTATTGTACCATATGTTTAAATTAACATGAAAGTTTTTGTTTTTGTAATTATTTACCATTTCTTGTAGGTTCGCAAGATGGACAGCAAATCCTCCCGTGGTAGAGGTACCAACCAGAATAATATTTTCCGCCCAATCATTCCAAAACACGTATCTAGTAGAGAAGGGATGTCTTTAACTCCTGCAGGCTATCTGCCGAACTCTGACCGTTTCCCTCCCTTTGTGCCACCTGAGTATCACACACGTCAGCCAAACCACCAGCACCACACGATCCAACCTTACCTCCCGGCCATTCCTTTCCATCCACTTCTTGCCAGTCATTTTCAGAATTCTGGTCTTGCTCCACATTACGTTCCATTACCTGGCCTCACAGATATGGCCCATCTGTTACAGTCTAGAGTTTCTGTGTCTCAAGCATCAGATGACAATGAATCCACCACAATAACCTCCATTAATTCCTTAAGAGAGCATTCTTCACCAGCTGTTACCTTGCCATCTGGACCATCCAAGCTGGAACATGAAGATTCTGATTTTAAACCCGGAGTAAATGATGAAATATCTGATGTGTCTCAGTTTGCTTCCACTACAAGCCTCCTACCCAACAGAGATATGAATGCTGTGAAGAAGATACTTGAGATAGTGGACGCAACTGTGTCCAAGCAACAGAAAATTTCAGGAAGTAACAAGGGACAGAATGGCATACTTCCAGAACTTCTTAATACACCTCCATACTCTCGTCCACTATCCATTCCAGGTAACCAAGTCGAATGTAAGTTAGAGTTACGAGAAACTGAAAACAACGAAAACAGCCAGCCAGGGAAGTATGTGTGTCATTACTGTAATGAAGAATTCGTGCATAATACTGATCTTCACCAACATGAAAGATACATGTGTCGGGAAAAGTCTACGATCCCTCTACCTCGGAATGAGCGTCAAGAAGAACTTCGGAACAGTTTTCAGCATATAAAAGTCAAAGAAGAAATTGATGCCCAAAATTTTCCACTGCAAAATACCACTGGTTTCTTGGAACAAAGCATGTCACCACAATTATCAGCTGAAAGTGAAGAAGACACTTTTAAAGAATCTGCTGAAAATGATGAGGTGATGGTTGATGGACGACATGTTCGTGTTAGGTCTCTTTTGAACGACGAAAGTCTCAACATTTTAAGTTCTTATTTTGAAGATAATCCAAAACCAACCAAGTTTGAAATTATGAAACTTGCGAGAGAGCTGTGCTGTCCATCACGAGTTGTGCAGTGTTGGTTTCAAAATTTCCGAGCACGAAAATGTCATTCTGATAGTGTCCTTCTTGTACCTAGCGTTCCGTCAGCCAGCTGTAATGATACAGGTCCGTCTCCAGAGCCTAACGTTATCCCGTTACACAAACCTATAGGATCTGACTCACATCATTCTATAACCGTTCCGCAGTATAGGCCACAGTCTTTCTTCAGCCCGTTGTGCTTGCCCTCTCCTGCTTTACATTGTAATGGAGCCATTCCAACTAATCGAGTGGTACCTGGTTCAGTGTCCAACATTAGCCAAGTCCATCCACAACTTCATTCAGAACTTTCTTGTACAACACCTCCAGCATCACCAAACAGGCATGAAGCTATGGATCTCAATAGAAAATTAGACTACCAGCCATACGTAAACATCGAAACTGAGCAACCTCTGGATTTGTCCATAAAACCTAAAAATATCATAACTGTTTCTTCACCTCCCGAGGCGGCTGATTATGAGGTTCTGAATCTCAGTCAAAAGTCCTCGCGCACATCAACTCCACAGCGAGAAAGGCAAAGAGTCTCACATGACGAAGGATTGAAGTTTAGAAAATCACCCGATTGTTACGAAAAAGAAGAAGAAAAATATTGCAATTCCACTTATGTCAAGTACCAGCCATCGAGACTGTGCTCAACACCTATTCATTATAATAGATCTTTAGATATAATTTCAAATCTCTCTAAATCAATATCTTCCGCTGGCGATTACTCCAAGTCAAACGGGCACCGCCAACATGTCTCCCGGGAGCCTCTTTTAGGAGACTTTTCGTCAGTTAGTACCCTACGAGTGTCTTCTCCCACTATAGCTCCACTGTCACCTGCAAGCGATGAAATTCCTCTCAGACCGTCGTCATCTTCTGACGCAGCTAGTAGGGAAGGCACAGTTAGTCCTGGAAGTTTGAAAATACACCTGGACAGTAAGACAGTTTCTCCATTAGGAGATTCAGAAACCCAAACTGATGGTACTCGGGGAGAACTGAAGCTTAAGATACCAAAGAAGAAAAGCTGGAAACAGGTACAATGTCTTAGTTTTAGTAATTTAGATAAATAACATAGCCGGTTTTCCCTTTCACTGCTTTCATAACAAAGAGAAAGTTTCCTTTATGAGACAAGATATTGAACAGTAAAAAATATTAATATTATTTTTCCTAGTCATTTTGAACCATATAAAGAACATTATCTACTACGTGGTTTGTTGTACATGACTACAAATTACAATATATGTACATTCTTACAATAAAAATAGCATTATATTTTGAGTATATTAATTTGATTATTTATATTAGACGGATCGTGGTAAGATGTTACACAAAATGACCAACTTTACAGTTGAAGAAGTTGAATAAAGATTAATATTAACGATAATTTGTGATACATCCAACTGTGCAGACAATAATTTAGCAATGCTTTGATCAAAATCAATACAAAATAACATTTAGCTTGACATGCACTACGTGAATGTGATCGACGTGGTAGAAATTGTCTCTTCTTTTTTCTCCGCTTTAGCAATTCGAAGCGGACGAGAGTCAGAGCAGCCCTGATTCAGAGGACCCTGCATTGAAGAAGAAAAAATTAAAGAACGGAAAAGGAGACAGCGAGGAGGGGCTGTTTGGTTGTGATGAATGTGACAAAGTTTTCAACAAACAAAGCTCCTTAGCTCGACATAAATACGAACATTCTGGTAAGTTTCCACGAACTTCCCTGTCTACTTGAAATTCTTATATATATATATGTGTGTGTGTGTGTGTGTTGTGTGTGGAGTCTTTTTATTCTAGTCACAGGCCTGAAAACTTTTCACCGTTTCGCTACCAAAGTTGCTACAAGTTGCTAGTTTTGAATATTGAGCAACCTACTAAGTAAAATATATCTAGTTGTAAAATAATAGAAATAGGCTTAAGAGATAAGTTTCGATTACGTGTATGAACGTTTGTATTACTTGTTTTAAACAAGATGTTTTTATTGGTTATGCACCTAACTCGATATACAAGTTTGGTTCTCAGTAATTATGCATATTGTTTATGTAGAAGTCGAGTCAAAGTTTCTCCCGATTTCATATTTTGCTCATAATTAAAGACCAATGCGTTGTAAAACAATAGTACAGTTTTGGAACCACCGTCGTCATCACGTACCACCTACCTTTTTTTTAAAATAACTAAGTTAGAAAAACTAATAATAGAAATAGAAATAAAATTGCTGTATAGAGAATAATTATCATCAAGAAGTAATCGTTCATAGATACAAGTTTTCAAAGTAGAAACACTGAGGGTCATATTTAACTACTTTTTTGTCCAGAAACTTACATTGTTATGTATTTGTTAAACATTTGACTTTGTTGTAAAGGCAGAAAATATTTTTTTGTTGTTGTAGTAATCGTGTCCACTAGATGGTGCTCTGATAGCATGTTGTCTGAAAGAACTGAAGATATTTTGAGTACATATGTGTGAAGCGATCGGTTTATATGTTTTAATGTTGATATAAACATGCGGTATGTAGTAGACGAATTATTTAGATTTTGAAAAAAAATAATTCTTTTTCGCTGTGATGGATGGATTTCTATATGTAAAACGAATTCTTAAACACATGCAAACCCACCATTTCAAGGCTTTGCAATTTCTTAAAACTGGTATGTTACATGGATTGAAGCTCAAAATAACCTGTACTTAGGCACTTTAGAAGTAGACCCACACATATGCTTTCATACAAATTAGTGTTTTATAATGATGTAAAATAGTAGCGTAATAATGTAAACTACTTCCTTTAGGAATACAGTGCTACACACGTATATATAGACTAATTAAGACTTTTTTGATTATTTGAATACGATAGAGTAACCAGTTGTGATTGTGTTGCCGCTTTAATTTCTTTCTTAAACAAAGCGATGAAGTAGGCTTCGTAAAATGTTCCGTGGTCTGCGTAACGCAACGGTGAATGAGCCAGTAATAATAAGACACACCTTTGTAAGACGCGATATTATGAAGACGTAACCAAAACGGAAGTTGAACGTGGCAGATGAAATTAGTTTGTGGGCCGAGAGTGGCCCATTGGTTAACCCACGACCCTGCGAATTGATAGGTCCAAAGTCCGAGCCGGCGATAAGCCGATGAAGTCGCTCCGCACTCTCAGGTGTGGGCGCTTTGTAAGAGTGACAGTGAATCCCTCTATTAGGTTTAAGAGTAGCCGTTTAGGCTGAATGATCGCCCTCTCTCTTGTTCGCACTTCAAAACGATGAAAGACTACTTCTGAACATTGGCACCTCTGATCTGGCCGTTCAGACCGTATGCCACTCGATTGAAAATATTGGATACGGTTTACATTTTAATATTCCATTAACACTTAGTTAATTTGTTCACTGGTACATTTGTATCCAAATTACTTTGATAAAATGGCGTTCACAATGAGTAACTTATTTTTAACGATTGAAAAGAAACTGATGGGTAGCTTTATTTGCGTATTTTTCCGGAACGTAAGTAGTAAAATAAGGTATCTAGTAGTAACAGCAGGCACCAGAGCGAGTTTACATAGTTCCTGTATTAACCCCCGGACTACCAGATAGATGATGTAAAACCTATTATCACCAGGGTCCAATAGGCCCAGTATTTCATTAATGATTTATAGTAGTGCAAAGAATAATTAAAAAAAGGAAAAATAAGCACTATTATAAATAAACTTATTATGTTATTAATAATTGTATTTATTTCACTATTTTCCCTGTTTATCTGGACTGATCTACTGGAACTAGTTAGTAGTTCCAGGATTAATTATTATAGTTTGTATATCCCCCTTTACCCTAAATTCAAGCTCTAAATTTTATTACCTTTAGTGGCGCGTGATTTTGGGGTACACGTATTTATGTAATGGTTAATTTATTTGATATCGAAATCCAGGGAACAAACACAGTTCACACACCATTAGGATTATATATATATATTGCTCTTATTTAATACAGTATAGTGTGGGTTTTGCTGTGCGACAGTTTGTAAGTTTTTTTAAGTTCTTCTTATATAATCTTGTGGAATGTTTTATGAGCGTTACTCTTCAGTTTCATTTTCTCTGTACATGTACTGTTGGTTCTAAGTCACCTTCGTGTATGGTTTATTATGTTTACCTTTTTATACATATATAATATGTAACTTACTATGATATACGGATCAGTTGTTGGTGTTTGTGTTCTTTCTTATTGTCACTACTTTATTTTCTACACCTTTTGAAATATTTATTGTGTACGTTACTTGGAACGAGAGTATTAGTTTCAAAGCACTGGTTTTTCTTTTCCACGACTTATTCTTTGGGTGTTCTAAACCACGTGAACGTTTCTCCTATCAGTGGTAACCATACGTTTTAATTTACATATGAAGACTTTCCAACTAAGTTATATATAAAGCTTAGGTTTCTCACATTTGATACTTTATCTTCAGAATTTTCAATCATACTTGGTAGCTTACATTGTAAAGTAAAAATCAGATCTCCGCAATTCAAGTTCTAAGTTTCTAGCCTTGTTTTCTACATAGTTTTCTCAGTTTTCTCAGTTTTTCTTTTTCTTTTTAACACTGTTAAGCCTTTCCATTATTTACTTATGTTCTTCTTCTTGGTACCTCAACGTGAAGACTTACAGTATACTTAATTTTAAAACATTAACTCTGTTTTTTCCATCGGCCGTTTTCATCTCTTTTGGTTTAGTTACATTACGCATTTCCGTTTTTGTTACGTGGTTTCCTGGTTCTGTTATCTAGAGTTATTAGACTTACAAGTTTGATATCTACCATTCTCTGATTTTTTTTTCTGTAGTCTTATTTTTTTTTCCCCAAGCCACTTGGTTATGCTGCTTACATAACATAGCGTGAGTTTTACTACAAGCTCACTGTAATAGAATATTGTGAACACTCACAACACTGATTGCTCAATCACTCTGCCGTTCAAATATAGTGGAACTAAGGTTATCCGCATGCTTCGGAGGACTGGGGTCTGGGGGTATGTGAAATCCGCGGATATCTAAGACTAGAATGCGTCAATAAAATACAGAAAATAATTATGTACACCAAAACAATGTTTCTTAAAGATGTCTTCAACAGTTGAGCAGAGAGAATACTGCTTTAAAACGTGTTTATTCGCATTTCACTCTATTTTCTTACATTTAAATAAAATACGTACCTACAAACGTTTTTTTGTTTGTTTTATAGGAAAAGTCTTTTTTTCTATCATTAACAGCTTTTTAAAACAGTTTACTGCTGCAAGTCATTCTTTTGAAGCTTGAGAAAGTTCATCATAGTCTTTTGTTTCAGTGAAGTAAAATATGTTTGCTGGGCTGTGTTTAGCAACTGTCTCAGTAAAACTAATTTAACAGAATCGGCATCCTTCTGCTGTTCGTTTTCGCTTTAGGCCTGTCACTTCAGTAAATATACTGTTTAAGTTGACAAGGTAGTAAGTGTAATATGTTCGGGAATGAATCGTGCGTATTTTAATATGTGTGTGTGGTGTGCGAGTATTATGTGTTCATCGGTTATACAACATCGATGAAACTCGGTAGGAGGAGGGGGACAAATAATTAAAGTAGGGGATAAAGAAATATCTACAGTATTTCTTTAAAAAGTTAATAAAAATGGCTACATCTTATTCAGTAATTTTCACCAGTAAGTCCAATCAGATGGTGTTTTAATGCTACAACACTTGAAACTAAAAAAAATATCGGATATATTCGAAAGTTTTCATAACTTTATACAAGGCGGTGACGCTTAGTTACTCTTGGAAAACGTTTCCCGTTAAAATGGACATCCTTCTGATTTTACAAGGCAGTGACGATTAATTACTCTTGGAAAACGTTTCCCGTTAAAATAGACTTCTTTTTTTTCTGACTGTTTCGTTATTGTTTTATTTTTAGGTCAGCGTCCTCACAAGTGTGATGTGTGCAGCAAAGCCTTCAAACATAAACACCACCTGACCGAACACAAACGACTTCACAGCGGTGAGAAACCCTTCCAGTGTAAGAAATGTTTGAAACGCTTCTCTCACTCCGGTTCATACAGTCAACATATGAACCATCGTTACAGCTATTGCAAACCTTACCGTGAGTAACTGTGGACCTGCGCACCTAGTCGACGTCATGAGCAGTGTGCTTCAGATTGTTGACTGAATTCAAGTTCCAATCTTTTTGTACACAACAACGAACACTAACTACACTGAGGTTCCAGCCCAACCCAGTAAAGCAGACACAGCTACTTGGGCATTAGCAACGAGGTGATGAAGAATGTTAATGAGGGAGTACCCAATAAATTACCAATCCAAAAGGAAACCTAGGTGCTAACACTGGGTTAACACATGTGGAAAGACTTCATTCCGTACGTGCAAAAAGACACTCTAGTCGACATTCGAGAGTGCTAATACAAATACTCACCAAAGTCTTCTCATAGTTCTATGGGAGTGTTCATAGTCCAACTGAAACTTAGATATAAATATATATATATATATAAGCTTTACATCTATGTTGTTGTGTTTTATTGAGTAAGGATCTGATGTAGTGATTGCATAAAATCAAGAACTCGTACAGTGCTATTCTTACAACACTAGCAGCTCATCTTAATTTTTCGTTTTTTTTTCTACAAAGATATAAAGTTATCTCTCTCTCTCTCTCCCTCTCTCAAAAAAAACAAAAAGTTTCGTAGCAAAGACACCAAAATCGCCAAATAATTATTTTAGAATTCGATATTTTTAACAATCTTGTACTGTTCAATCGTGGCCAAAGATTAACACAAAAATTGTTTAACACAAAGTAGCATAAGTTGTTATATAACGTGCCAAATGTTACATATATTATTACAACGACTCAGTTTTAAAGCCAAATATAGATTAATGAAAAACTATTATGCAAACCTGAGCGTTTTAAAATATTTCACTAATGTTTTTAATAACATGATATTTAATGAAGGTTTCTTTATGTTTGTGTGTATGTATACATACGTGTTGTATAGTGTTGTTATTTTTGAAAGTTTCGACGGGCGTAAAATGTTACTCCGAATTTAAATGGCACATTGGCTTAACGTAGCTGTTCATTAGAAGTCAAAATTACATTGTATAGGGAAGTTTGTTTTTTTGAAGTTCGATGATATCAATTTACAAATCAATTATAGAAGTCAAAAATGTTTATTGAAGAGCCAATTAAAAAATTAACATTTTCCAAACATTCCGTATAAGTGAAGCTCATGTGATAGTTTCTTTTTCATGTTTACGTCACGAACATTGAAAACTTAAGACAAAAACTGGGGCATTTTTTTCTTTAGAAATACTGCAACATTCTGTATCTGTAAACAAAGTAATTATATATTGTAAATTTTTACAGATGTTTGAGCCAGTGGGCCATTTGAATTTACTAAAATCACACTAAAGGTGCCAAAAATTACCAAAAATTTCTCTTATTGTTATTTTAATGTGCAAATTCTGTAAAATCACATTAATGAATGGCTCGACATCTACAGAATCAGTCACCAGATGTCGCCTTTTTCATGTTCAACTATCTGTTGTGCATTTGTTAGTTTTTTTTCTCAAGGCTGGATAGTTTTAAGTCAATTTTATGTTCCTTTTGTAAACCAAAGATTTTACAAGAAAAAGAAAGAGCGCTTCAGTTTACTATAAAAGTATAAGTGTAGATGAGCAAGAAAAGTGGCTATCAAAGAAAGATCTTCTAGCCAGTTACATTGACCCATATTATTGCATTTTCATTTGTAGTCTGAGGTTATGTTGGATATTTGTATATTCGAAAAAAAAAGTAAGTTTTAATGATATAAGTGTGTTTTCTTGGGATCGTTGCAAATATTTAGCTGTTTTTTTTTCTTTGCTATTTTTGTTATGTTTTCAATTTTTTTTATGTTTTTATGTTGGTTAGATTATTTTAATATCATATCTAGCATTATATGGAATCAAAAAGATAAAAATGATACTTTAGTTGTATATAGCTTTTTTTTTTATGCACGTCTGATTTTTTCCGATTAAAAATTTATCTATTAAGTGGAAAAAAAAAAGTCTTCTGAAGATGAGTAACCACAGTTGTATTTGGTGCTTTGATTGCCACTTTTTTTCTTTAAACTTATCGGCGTTTTATCAGCATTTTCAGTGATATGCGAATAATAATTTTATTAAGACAAGTTGAAATAGATTTGTCAATTTTTAATATAAATAATGTTGTTTTTTTCTTTTTTTTTTTTGGAAAAAGATAATCAAATTGATAATTTCTCAGAACCACTTTCTCTAAATAGAATCCTAACTAAACAGACCAACTCCAAACCAGACACAACTTACAACCCTGGGTACGTTATCTAACCAAACATTGTTTTGATCGCATGTTTGCTTATTTTTTCTAAAGTTCTGATAAATTTTTAACAGATATAAAATCTTCAAAATCTGTTTTATTAATTTTTTTTATTATGTGATCAAGCAACTTACTCAGTATTGGTAATTTCTCAAATATCGATCTGTTTTTTTTTGCTTCTTTAAAATTGTTTCTAGTTTATATGAAAGTAATATAACGTATAGTCATTGTATTCAAACATGACTGAATTTTTTAACTTTATCTTCTAAGTAATCGAAAACAATGTAAGTGTACTTTTCAAAAAGTCTTCCTCTTTCTTTATCAAAGTTGTTTAATGTTTCAAGTTAAGCATCAGTATGATTTTGATCATAAGGAGAAATTGCACGTCTTGATTGCTGTGTTTATGTAGAAGTAATAGAGATAGTAACTTAATAACTGCGTCTTCCAACTGTACTTGAAACGATTATATCTGTTAATGTAAACAAAATGTCGAACATTTTTTCTAGTGTTAGAAAATGTTTTATATGTAATCATTTACACGGAAAGGAAATTAATAGCATAACCAACTGTTTTGTTAAGTTTAAAATACGATAATCTTCAGTGGTTAACCTTAATCAAAGTATCACAACATATTTTAGATCAACAGGTCTAGAGATAATCTATATATATAAGGTAAAACGTTCCGTTCGAAATATGCCACTTTTTTTTTTCTGAGTTTAGTGTTGTTTTTTTATATATACATTTATTTCAATGACTTTCCCCAAACCTATTGTTGAAACTAGATCAGACCGTGAACAACTCACGTAATACTACCTATTGTTGAAACTAGATCAGACCGTGAACAACTCACGTAATACTTATTATCCAGAAAAGTACTAGTCGATTAGCGATACAGCATAATAAGCAGTGCACATAAATGTTTTGTCTTGAAAACATCTGCTTAGAAATGTCTCGTTAGATTAATACACACACACTGACCATCTTCATAGCCAAAAGGTAAAAATGAAATATTCTGATAGGCTAGAAGAGACACAAGTGATCTAAAATAAAGAGTAGAATATCTTTATGGTACAAACCATTATAGCAGCAGCAAAAGTTATGTAATCTACTCCTTTCATAAATAACGGTCTAATAGAAACTCAGCACTTCTTCCCTTGAAAAAGATGGTTAAAAATGGGACACAAACCATTATAGCAGCAGCAAAAGTTATGTAATCTACTCCTTTCATAAATAACGGTCTAATAGAAACTCAGCACTTCTTCCCTTGAAAAAGATGGTTAAAAATGGGACACAATGCCAGGTAGAGTACAGTCTGCCTTCATAGAAGCTTAAGTAGAAATAACTCCTCCTTTGAAGTCGACTACAGGAAGTTATATGGTTTTAAAGTCTTCACCTCTTTCTTTTAACAACAACATACACTGTCTTTGTCCTTCGAGCTAGGTCATCTTACTTGTTTTATTACAAATTATTAATGTTCATGAAAAGATTCTATTTTAATTTCCAAATGTGCGCCTCAGTAGCTAAAACAACGACTTTAATGAATGGACCTTTTAAAATGATCATTTGGTTTCATATTTTACAGATATTCAAGGTCATCCGTTCTGTAAACAACGAGTAAATGGCATTTTACCCTCGGTGGGGGGGGGGGGGTTCTTCTTCCGAGCTTTTATAGAAAACCAGATTAGAGGCCAAACTCAAAGTGTATTATGTACTTGCTTTGAACCTATCTTGAGTCTGTTTGTTCTTTTTTATACCACCTTCTGATGCGTGCAATAAGTGCATTGTATAATATGCAGAGATGCTTAGTCTTTATCGATGTGGTTTTTGCGTGTTTTTATTACCTTTATTTTATCTTATTTTTGTAATCGTCTAGAGGATAAAAATGTGGTAGTTATATAATATACTTGTCATTTTAACTTCGTGCCAAGGTTTATGTGTCAAGTTTATTAAAAATAGATACAAAAGTTATCCACAGTGCTTTACTCACCACGACAAAGCTGGGTAGCGAAAGGACACTAGGTCAGGTCAACCTGTGTCAAACTGTTGTTTTTCGTCATCGAAATCTCAAAATATATAATTCTCCCTTAAAGCCATCTACTGAAGACTATGCTTTACGGGGTTCCGTTAATGAATATTTATGCAACTATTTATTTCCATGTATTTTTTCAGATGATAATAAAACTTCTTCGAACTTTCTCATTAATGTATGGCCTGAAATGTTTGAATTCAGTTATTTCAGAAACTTGTAGATAGTTTTAAACACGCATTAACAGAAAAAGATAAATCATTAGAAAATTCTGATTCATGTAAATAAACTAACAGATTCATAAATTGTAACTTCTGACTTTTCTTTTAAAGTGAAAATTGTAAAGTTACTCTGTCGAACTCTATAAATTAAACATGGCCAGTTGGTTAGGGCGCTCGACTCGCAATCTGAGGGTCGCGGGTTCGAATCCCCGTCCCACCAAACATTCCCGCCCTTTCAGCCGTGGGGGCGTTATAATGTGACGGTCAATCCCACTATTCGTTGGTAAAAGAGTAACCCAAGAGTTGGCGGTGGGTGGTGATGATTAGCTGCCTTCCCTCTAGTCTTAAACTGCTAAATTAGGGATGGCTAGCGCAGGTAGCCATCGTGTAGCTTTGCGCGAAATTCATAACAAACAAATAACTATAAATTAAAAAAATGTTTAGAGAATTTTTACTCACTACAATAATGCTGGGTAGCAAAAGGTCAGGTCAACTTGTGTTGTCAAACAGTTGTTTTCCGTCGTCATCAAAATCTCAAAACATATAATTCTCTCTTAAAGCCATAATAAGAAAACAATCATTTTTGCTCATTCGCTCTTGCTAGAATGGTTTTGATAATTATTCATTATATTAAAACGATTTTCGAGCCTCACCATGTCCTGTGCATCATGATAATAACCCTGCAGCGTAGATTCCGTTGTAAAAGATTCCATCGTAAAGCTGCCATGCCTTCCTCCATGCTTGCATTTCATAAGTCATTTAGAGTACGAGAATGACAATTTTTCAACGATCGTGTCAGCAGTCCTATTTCACAGAAATCCACAAGTGCTGCGTCTATCGGTTTGACAGTGTGTTTTTATATGGAATAATATGAATACCTGTTTCATTCTCCAGCTGCTTTAGGTATGTGTCAATTGAACAGATATGTCATATGTCGTGTGAAACTGGCGTACATGTGATTTGTGTCGTTTCTACAGGCAGAGACCCTTTTTGATTACGTTGCAAGGAACAGGACTCGTGGAAAGCTTTAGCCGCTGACATCTGTGTTTATAGATTCTCACCTGTTACAAGACACCACACTTTTCTTGACTACAACGTCTTGCAGGTCTCTTTCTGAATGGTCTTGGTATCCTAAGTTGATCCATGTTCCGTTGTTTTCCATGCCATGAAGTAAAGGGATATCATTGTCTTGGAAATTTTAAAACCGCGATCTAAACACATCCTTATTATCCGAGTCTATAAATATTTTGCGTTGGAAAGAGCTGTAGCATGCCATTCTCAAAAGCGATCACTTTTTTGCTGGCATCACACTACCTACTTAACGCCAAACAATGTGAAAATGTAGTTCTGATACATTCCGTACCACCGATATTTTATATCTACTGTTGTTTTGGCGTGAAGTGTTGATTTGCATATTCAACGTCATTTTAATATAACGTACTCAACCTTCTTTGGAGTACAGAGTAAGAAACTGCTTCTATTTTGCTGCCCGTTGCATCTATATCGCCTCAATGGCAAAATCAAAATAATGACATATTTTGTCTTTGAGATTTATTGGTTCATAAAGAGGGGGTAATTTTATTTATCTAAAGGAAATTATTGTGTTTTATTTCACTTTTGGTATGTGCCACAGAGCGAAAAGTAAAACCTGACTTTTTTTTTTAGAAATCATGATGATTAATAAACATATGTAGTATGGTTGTAAATTTGGGTGTAATAGATTGTACCGAGAGAATGGCAGTATTGGTATCGGCATTCTCAACCATGTGATAAAATAGTTTTAGTAGTTTACTGGAACATACTACAAATGACAATATGTGACAAAGCAGGATATTTATCTTTAGATATTTTGTCATTTAAAGTTAAAGGTAATGTTGCTTGGTTTGATTTGTTTTGAATTTTTCGCGAAGCTACTCGAAGACTGTTTATACTAGCTACCCCTAATGTAGCGGTGATAGACTAGAGGGAAAGACAGCTAGAAAACACCCACCGCCAACTCTTCGGCTATACTTTCACCAACGAGGTAAGGTCGTATGGGGAACTTTTGTTAGAATATCTTTGTACTGTATGATGTAAGCCTGTCACTTTAGATAACTACTAAAAATGGGATAAGCTTGGATGATTGAAAATCATTATGCCCAAGTTTTATTAATTGTTCAATGTCTATGATCAATGGTATGCGATACAACATGTAGCCCTTTAATGCAATGTTGAAGAGTAAATAATAATAAACATTTTCCTGTATAATTTGCACAATTAGTGTTACAAAGAACATACATACAGATATGTATGTTAAAAAGCAACTGTTTACATATAACATTGGACGTCTTATCCACCGACATATATCAAATTAAAACCTAGTGTTGTGCAACATTTGTGGAATAACGTTCTAAACAAGGCATGGGCCGTCTTACAACACCTATAAAGTTCAAATTACTTCATTTTCATATGTATAAAATAGCAAAACATTGTACTCATTCTAATTGTGTTTAACGTGACACATTTTGCAACTTACACTTTGCCTTAAAAATCTAGTATCATTTATTTTCATAAGATTTATTCATTACACCATTATTCATTTATTAAAATCTGAAATATTTCAAATCAGCAGCTTACGAAACACAGCTCTGCTTAGATTAACAATTGATCGAAAAGTTTGTTTACCGGTTTCCTAACATTATTGAACGGTTTATGCCTAAAATCAAGCAAATGAAAAATATTGGATTTTCGAACAGAACAGTGGAAAAAAAAAACTCTCAAAAGCTCTATTCTTTTAAACAAAATTGTATTGAACATTGAACTTTTCATAATTTCATATAGTATAGATCTAATTCCATATACTTGGTTGCGTAGCTATCGATTTTTTGTTAGTGTACAGCATAAATATTTAAAATTATTTTAATCAGGTTATATCGGCCGTATCAAAATTCATATTTTCATCTTAAAATAATCAAATTCCTTCAACTCTGCTATAAAACCAGAAAGGATGTTTTGTATAACTTTATGTCGTTCTTTTTGTCGAAACAAAGCTGGCCTAAAGTGTGTAACGTAATCATGTAAATTAGATTGATTTAATCCGTCAACAGAGTTAAATAAGCTACATGAGTCGAACTAGTTCATCTAGTTTTATAAGGAAGCTACACAGACTTTGAAAGTTGACATTTTTTTAAAGGATAACGGATATTAAAATTTACTTTGTCTTGGTGAATATATATATATATATATATTTTTTTTTTACTGAATTAAAAAGTAAAGTTACACTGATATGTGTTACACATTGCAATTTCGAAACCGAGTGACTTTTGGCACAATTTTTCTCGTGTAAAGCATTTGGCAAGTGTCTAGTCGCACACGAGGCAAATGAAATGTAAATGTGGGAAACAGTATTCTTACGTATTATGAATTATTAATGTTTTTAAAGATGTCTCTATCTATCTCACCTTCTGCTTATTGAATATGAATAAAGGATTCAGTTACTTTTGAACTTGGATGTTTCTGTGAATACATCTGTGAAGTACGTAATTTGTTTTAAATTTTGGATACAGAGCCCAGGTTTTCTATGGTAGGCAACTTTAATTATATGTTAATGTTCTTTATCATTTATAAAGTATACTTCTTATTTCAAAAATACAGAACAACAATAAACTTTCTGTCGTTGCTACAGAGTGTATTGTGCTTATCATACCCCGAATTTTATCGTTATAAACCCTTAAAATTACTGCTGAGCCACCTGAATATTTTTCAAAGCATAATTCTCTATCTATAGAGGATACAACTATATTACTCAAATCGTAACTCTGACTTCAGTGTAAATTAGAGTACTTGAGTACTCATATTCAACTGTACTCAGCAGTTAAAAGGCTGTCTCTATAAGTACCATAATTATCTCACTCTCACGTTTGTAGGTGAACAGCACTTCCAGTGCCATGTTTGTTTTCAGATACACAATAGAAAAACAAAGAAGACATGTTTTAATATTTCATGACCTATCTAAAACTTGGTACTGATAAACTTGGAGAAGTTTGATGGGGAATACCATTTCTTTATGGCGGTATAATCTTCTATGTTAGTGCTAGTGGAGGACATACATGTGCCCATGCAGTTAATGACGCGTGTCATGTAGCAGCGCAAAGAATGAAGAAACCTTTCTACAAACTATGATATAATGTCAGTGGCAGATCTAAAGACAAACTCAACTTATTATATTTAGGATGTCACGGAATTCAGGGATTGAGGTATGATTTTGTTTAAACTGTCAAACAGTTTGCCGTAAGTACAGAAATGGTACTGTTTTGTTATTAGTTAATTTAAAAAGTATTTATTCTTTAATTAATGTTCTTCAGTAACATTTCTGTTTTTTTTTATAATAGCTTTCTTAAGATATTGTCTTTATTGCAGTGGTGTAAAACGTCTAACCTAGGAAAACAATAATACTTTACAAAAGAGCAGTCTCACGTGATTTTAATTAATTTCATTAGGCCTAAAAGCTACTACCTTTTCTGAAATCAATAAAACTTTTATTTTCATTCGATCATTAAACGACAATTCCCAGTTTTAATTTCTAGCAAATTTTCTTCTCCTGAAAACATAAATATATATATATTATTTATGCTGCAAGTGCTTCTGCGATCGGAAATAAAATAATTAGTACTCGAAGCTTGTCTCCCTGGTGTTTATTATTCATTTGCCGCTGTCATGTAGAACGGTTTTATTTTAGTCTTGAAATGTTCGGTTCAGTGGCAGTGGAAAAACGTATTCAGTTTTCTATCTAATTTTATCGATACTGCAAATTTCGGTCTTCTGTTAAATACTTCTCTTTTTTTTTTTTTGCTGCATTCTTCGGGTTTACCGTCTTTGTTTGTTTGTTTGAAGTTAAGCACAAAGCTACACGATGGACTAACTGTGCTCCGCCCACCACGGGTATCGAAACCCGGTTTCATGCCACTGTGCCA